ATTTATGTAAGGCATGCTTGGCATATTACTTCATGGTTTATAAAACACTTTCTTTTCAACCATCCTATGAAGTAAACAATGCAGGAACTCTAAGCTTCATTTTACAAAATGGGGAAACTGAGATTTGGAGAGGTTAAGCAACTTTTCCAATAGTTCCATAACAAGTTAAGTAGGTCAAAGTTTGGACACGAAGCCAGATCTACTTATTCCAAATACAGTGTTCTTTCTACCACACCACATCACAGATGAGAACTAGGGATGCTTCCTCAGAACTCAGTGAGAAATACAGACATGGGAAATTAACAAACCTTTGAGTCACAAGACCAGAAAAGACCTCCAGGAAAGATGAACAAGGGAAATGGAACATTAGGTTTGGATGATCTGAAGCCCAGGGAGCCATGCCAATTCAAATTTACCTTGGACTAAGAGCTCAAAGTGTCTAATTTAGTTTTTAACTCAGGCTAAGGTATTAACTTCCAAGACAAGAACCAAAAGATGGGTCAATGAAAACAGATTAAGAACTATGAGATCTCCAATTCAGTAAGAGCTACTATTACAGGCTTTAACTTTTTTATGATTAATTTCTACTCTATTTAAAAACTCCTCCTGATTCCTTGCAACTTCTATTAATAAAAACCTTTTAAAAACCACAAAGGTCCGTGCTTCCATTGAAAGCTGGGTAGGGGAGACATTGGGAACCTGTATTCCATTCTGCATCCAATCTGGGAAGAGAGGAATTCAGATGGAAGACAACAGGTGGGCCAAACCTGGAAAGCCCATAAAAAAAGAGTAAAGGAAAGTATACCTTAGTTCCTATTTACCTGGGCGATTTAAACTGGTCTATTCTTCCAAACTAACTTGAGTGTTAGCTAGGGATACAACACTAACACACACACACACACACACACACACACACACACACACACACACACACAAATTCAAGAATGTGTGCAACACATCCTCAGTAGCAATCTCAATTATCAGAGAACAAAAACTGCCATTGGGCAGCCAAAGCAGACATCACAAACTCCATGTACTTTGAAAGGCTACGGTTCTAAGCAAAACTCATACCCTTAGACCCGTATTTGAAGACTACCGACTTTTACTTTACACATAATTCTAACAAGCTTGATGGTCTGGTTCTTCAGTTTAATTTGCACATTCGATGAAGCAAATTAGAAGGGACTCAGAAATAGTAGAGTGAGGCATGCTGACTGAAAAAACATAAAAAGTAGATCCCCAAACAAAAAGCAGTCTGGAGCCATTTAATGCATGGGCAAACAGAACTCATCTGTCCTAGAGAGATGGCCCACCTAATCTTTCATCTAAATTCCTCTCCAAGTCCACTGCAGAATGGAATGCAAATTCCCAAATTTCTTCCCTAGTTTGCTGTCTCTGAAACAAGCACACAACCCACATCACTTCATGCTTCCTCACAAGTTACCTTCCCATCCTGGAGAAATCTACACCCTGAGGCCTTTATCTTCATTAGTGACTCCCTAGCCTAGACCACCATTTCATAAGCGACTGACTCCAGATATCCTTGATTTACAATGGAAATCACCTCACACTAGGTACCTTGCTCCTACCTAGTTAGCCTTTTCCCCTCCTCTGTCCCCCAAAAATAGTAGAGTGGGAAGAATCCTGACTTGTTATATGACCTTGGGAAAGTCACTTTACTTCGAGGGGTCTCAATTTTCTTCTCATGAAGCTAGGTGGTACAGTAGACAGAGTGTCAGCCCTGGCGTCAGGATGACTCATCTTCCTCAATTCCAATCTGGCCTCAGATACTCAGTAGCTGTGTGACCCTGGGCAAGTCACTTAACCCTGTTTACCTCAGTTTCCTCATCTGTACAATGAGCGGGTGAAGGAAATGGCAAACCACTCTAGTATCTTTGCCAAGAGAACCTCACATGAAGAACCAGACAGGACTGAAATGACTGAACAACACCAACAAAATAAATGTGCCAGGTAACATGGTAAACACTTGGGATACTCATTTGGCCACTCATTTGGACATAACCATTGTCAACTGGACAGCACCAGCCTCTACCTTGTGGGAGGCCAGAGCCAAACAGAGTAGGCTAGAGGGAGGAGAGTCAGGAATCAAACAGAAGTTTAATTTCACATTCAGGGAAACAGCATGTGTGTGTGTGCATGCATGTGAGATTCATAACAGGGCTTCGTGACCAGCACATGGGTCCCTGTCCAGTGCTTGTCTGAGCTCAGAGAACAGCTGCTGCTGATCAAAGCAATACAATAATTACACGATTTTGCCAGAGGTTGAGATCACAGAGAGAGAGAGTGCAAAGGATTGTTGTTACGCCAAGCTCAGGGCACAGCTTGCTTGCTGGGCCTCAGCTCTGGAAAACAGGGTGTCTCCTAACACCTTGACATTCTTCTATGTATATATTGTACATCTGATCTCAACCTAAGATTCCAGAGAGCAGGAAACATCCTTTAATTTCTTTTCTATCCCTCTCAACACCTACCACAATGCTACGCACATATGAAGCTCTCTAATAATCCAGACAAGGTATCACTAAATGTCTTCCTACTGAACACCTTAACACTATAGGCTGAAATATGAACAAAACAACCAAAAGAACAGCTTAACGTTCGCCTGTTTAGAGTTTTAAATTTCTGTCACTATATCTATGTTGGATGACTAAACACAATGTGAGGATGACACAGCATTTTGCAGCACTCTGAAATTTCATCCAATTATTACACACTTCTCCTAGGCTATAACTGCCAGTTTCCACTCAATTCAAGCATCAATGAGGGGAAACAAACTACTTAAAAGAACTAATTCCTAAATACCAGAAGTCTTTGTTAGCGCCCACACTTTCTTAATTTGGAAAACTAAATATTATACTTTAAAATTTGAATGCTAATAAAAGCAGATTAAGATTATACATATGTATGTATGTATGTATGTGTATATATGTGTGTGTATATATGGAGAGGGAGAGAGGGGGGGAGACAGAGAGAGAGAGAGAGAGAGAGAGAGAGAGAGAGAGAGAGAGAGAAGTGTTTTACAACATATAAAGCACGCTTAATCTTAAACAATCCAATAGTAAATGAAGGACTGGAGAAAGCAACAGTTTAGCTCAGCAGGTTTTTCCACCTTTAGGAAACAAAATTAACTAAAGGGAAAAGAACTTTCAAGGGCACCACTCAGAAGAAGGACAAACTTACTACATTATACAAGAATTACAAGTATTAAATGTGTGTGATACTTGAGAGTAAAAATATTAGCATCTGCCAAAAGAACAGCCTCTCTGTTAGCTTTTCCCGCTACAGTTACCGAAGTTGATAGCAACTAAGAAAGCAAAATAGTATAAAAAGTTAGCTATGTCTTGAACTTTGGGGGTCCTTAGGTCTTTCAGATTTCCTTATCCAGGCAAGAGTATCAGATTTGCAGTTAAAGGATTTGAGTTCAGATCCTGTCAAGACCTTGGCCAAATCATTTAATTCAATTTATGTTGCTTCACTTTCTTCAACTGTAAAATATAAGGATTTTTTTTTTTACCTTCAAAGCATCTTGTAGTTCAAAATCTATGATGCTATTCTCACTGAAAACACAGAGATTAGAAGCTAGAACTGTGATTTCTTTGTTTGTTTGTTTTTCCTCTCCTGATGAAAAACTGATGAAAAACTCTATCTGACAATTCAGGTCAGCACATTGAGTACGAGGGGATAAGAGACTTTTCTAGGGGCTATATGGCCATTATATGTCAGAGGTGGAGCAAGCAAGTTCTCCTGGCCTCCTCCAGACCAGCTCTCTATCCAATACACTAAGCTGCCTCTCCAACATACACTCCTAATTAAGTTGGTGAGAAATTACAATCTTATTCTCCTTCTACCATTTGTTAAAGGCTTTAGTCAACTCAAAAAATGATTTTTGTCTCCTTCCAACAAGACAAAAAAAAAAAAACCAAAACCAAAAACCAACAATTGGATAATCAGAGAAGATGGCAACTAATGGAAAAACAAATTTGAGACACTTAAAAGATCAATCCAGGTGATGACTAGAAAGGTAGAAAAAGCAAACACAGGAAAAAATCTGAAATAGACTGGATCAAGTAAAAGAGTTTTAAAAACAACTCATTTCCTTCAGAAGTGTGGGAAAATACCCGTTGCTACTGGAAAGCTGCGCAAAGTTTGGTTTGGCTGATTTCATTCTGTTTTCTTTCCAACATCATTACTGAGTACGAAAGACTGTTTCTCTTTCATCGCATTACTCAACATACTTTTTAAAAAAATCTCCTCCATCAAATTCAGTTGCTTTCCATTCTCTCTCCCTACGGCTCCCCCACCCACCCTGGGATCTGCACACCCGGCCCACGCCTCCCTCCAAACAGGCTTCAACATTTCTTGGCTGTCTGTGGTCTCACCAAGACTTGAGGGTTCAGTCCTTGAGACAATGGGAGTTTGCTCAAGTTGAGTCAATCTAGGGGCTGGACCCGTGACTCCACAGGTAGAGGGAACTCCCGGGGGAGGAAACTCACTCCACCAGCGCAGGTCCGTACATTCTCCGCACTTGTTGCCCGAGAAGGGGCCCCGAGTCCCAGGCGCTGAAAGGAATTTCATCCATTCCGCCCCCCGCCGCCCCCAATCTTCCTCCACCCCCTGCGGCGCCGCAGGCTGACACAGGCCTCTCCTTTGACGCATTGAGCGGCTTTCACTCCTAGACTCGGATAACCCACGCACGACCGTGTCCTCCCCTCTCCGAACACACGCAAAGCAGCCCGACTTCTTCACCCCCACCCCCGTCACCGTTCCACCACGGCACAGTCCCGGGCTGGCAGATCGGCGTGACCCTAGTCTCAGGGGTCCAGGTGGGGTCCGGCAGCGCTCGGCCCCGGGGAGGGGTCCCCCGGGCCGCTCCCGACCAGGCCCGAGGGCTCCGTGGGTCCATCGCCGAGTGACAGCGGCCGCTGCACTTCGCCGTGCGCCGCGGGGCCGGGCCTCCTTCCCCCGACCGCCATACTCACCCTTTCACCACAAAGAAGGGGTCCTCCATGGACATGGCGTCCCGGCGGCCGCCCCGCCGCAGCCCGTCGGCACGCACCGGGCTCCTCAGCCCCGCGCTCCCGCCGCCCCCCGAAGTTCACGGGGCCTGAAGAGTCGGCGGGCCAGCGAGGGCTGCGCGCGCAGTACTGCCGGCCCTACAGTCTCGCAGGGGCGGCCTGCCGCTAGGAGTAACGCAACGGAGGCGGCGGCAGGCTCCCCAACTTGATCTCCGCCCGCCTCCCTGCCAGGAGACTCTGAGACTCCCGGGCCGGCTCCGCCCCCCCGAGCCTCCGCCCCTAATGGCCCCGCCCCCTCGCCCCCGACCAATCACAAGCAACTCTCCGAAGCACCACTTCCGCACGCCGCTGTCACGTGACGCGGGTAGTACCCGCCCCCTTCTCCAGTAGAGGTGTGGTTAATGGTCAGGTGATGAAGGAGTTGGATGAGCCTGGAGTCTCGGGAGTTGGAGGAGGGGCCGCTTTCCCCCGTCACGTGACCGAGGTGCCAGTTTCTAGAGGAGGGATTGGTCTCCAATGATAATGCTTTCGGACCTCCTCTGGAGCGGAGGTGCCTTTTTAATCTCGGTTTACAAAGTGGTTTGATGTTTTCTGGTGCTAAAACATACTTAAAAATTTTTTTTTGTTATTCTTCTTATCGTGACAATCACAATGTTGTTCAGTCGTTTTCAGTCACGTCTGACTCTTAGTGAGCCCTTTTGGAATTTCCTTGACAAGGATAGTGGAGTGGTTACCCATCTCCTCCAGCTCATTTTACAGATGAGGAAACTGAGGCAAACAGAGTTAAGTGACTTTCCCAGGGTCACACAGCTAGTACGTGTCTGAGTTTGGATTTGAACTGAGGGAGATGAGTCTTCCTGACTCCAGGGCCGACACTTTATCCACTGCTTCACCTAGCTGCCCCTGATAATCACTATTAAAAACGATCATTTATACAAAAAAGGACTGTGTATGAAATTTGTTTACCTTTTAAAAGTATATGATCAAGTCAACTTAATTGTTTCAAAATTTAATCGCCTTCTTTTCTCTTTGTGCATTCTTTAAGGCTTTATGGATGCTTTCCCCCTCTTCTTTTTCTATCATTAATCCTCCTCCCCTTCACCCTCCCTTCCGAAAGAAAACCCCCAAACCTACAAATAAGTAGAGTCAAATAAAGCCAAAATAAATTCATAGATTAATCATGTTGGACATGTATGTCTCAATCGGCACCTGGAGGCTCACTTCTCTGCAGGCTGTACTGGGTATTTTCTTTACCATGCGCCAAACCAGAAAGTTCACTCCAGCCCTGAAACGCACTCATAAGAAGTACCCCTTGCCCCTGTAATCCTCTCCCTGTAATTGGACTTGTGGTTTGTCCTTCTTTCTCGAAGAGGACCTGACATCAGGGAGATGATGACTTGACTTGCAATTGACTTTGATTTGAGTGAGGGAGGGCTGTGCAAAGTCACCAGCCTCACTTTCTCCTCCAGAGCGTCTGGGTCCACTGGCCAGATAACTGAGGGCACTTCTCAGAACCTATATTCTCACCCCACTGCCCAACACACACACGCACACACACACACACACACACACACACACACACACAGACACACACCATTTCAGCCTCTTTTTATGAGTTGCTTACCCCGCTCTTTGAGGGCAGGGACTGCTTTTCTGCTTATATTTGTATCCCCGTTGCTTTTCACAGTGCTTAGAATATAGTATTCAATTAATATATGTTTGTTGACTAACTGACAGGAGTCCATTACCTTTGTTTCAGTGGGAGGAAAGGATGTTTCACCCACAGGAGTCCTGACTGTTCAGTGTTCTCAAATCTTGCAAAGTTTCTTTCTTTTTTTTTTTAAACAAAGTTATAGTCCTATAAACTGGTTTTTTAATGACCAGAGGTGTCAAACTCAAATAGAAACAGGATCACTAATCTGTATACATAAGGATCCCAGAGGGGCCAAGACTGACTTAATTTTAAAATGTAATGTTACGTTTTATTGTATTTTTATTTATTTTTTAAATATTTCCCAATTACATTTTAATCTGCTTTATTCAGGGAGTGTTGTGGCTGCCTGTTTGATGCCTCTGATCTGAATTATCAACAAAACAACAAATTAAGCTGTAATTTATAGCTCACCTATTTCCTTTCAGGCCTCATGAGCTGACTCCAACATATAAGAAGCTTATATTCAAATGGTGGAAGACCTCATTAGAAAGGAGGCTGAACCAAAGGGCTATAAAAATGTACCCTTTGACTCAGCAATAGCACTTCTAGGTCTGTATCCCAAAGAGACCATAAAAATGGGAAAAGGACCCACATATACAGAAATACTTATAGCAGCTCTTTTGTGGTGGCCAAGAGTTGGAAATTGAGGGGATGCGAATCAATTGGGGAATGGCTGAACAAGTTGTGGTATATGAATGTAATGGAATACTATTGTCCTATAAGAAATGATGAGCAAGCGGACTTCAGAAAAACCTGGAAAGACTTATATGAACTAATGATGCTGAATGAAGTGAGCAGATCCAGGAGAATGTCGTACACACTAACAGCCACGTTGTTCAATGACTAACATTGATGGACTTAACCCTTCTCAGCAATGCAGAGATCTAAGACAATTCCAAAAGACTCATGATGAAAAATGCTATCCACATCCAAAGAAAGAACTATGGAGTATGAATGCAGATTGAAGCATGCTATTTGCTATTTTTTTCTTCTGCTTTCTTTTGTTTCCTCTTTCTGGTAGTTCCTCCTATTGGTTCTAATTCTTCCTTATAACATCACTAATGTGAAAATGTTTAATAGGAAAAAAAAAAGAAAGGATGCTGAAAAGGAGGGAAGGAGGGAAGGAGAAGAGATTAAAGGAATGTTGAATTTGAAGCATTTTTTCATGTGATTATTGATAGCTTGAATTTCTTCCTTTGAGAACTACCCTTTGATATCCTTTGCCCATTTATATATTAGAGAATGACAAGCTCTGATATATTTAAATTAGTTCCCTATGTATCTTGGATTAGCAGATTTTTTTCCTGGTTAACTGTTTCCCTTCTAATTTTAACTAAATTGATTTTTCTTTGTGCAAAAGTTTTTAAATTTTATGTAATCAAAATTATCTAGTTTATCTGCCGTGATCCTCTCTACTCCAGTCTGGTCAAAGACTCCTTCACATCAGTAGTTTTGAAAGGTATCTCTAACCCTACTCCTCTAATTTGTTTGTGGTATGACTTTTTTATATTTAGGTCATATATTCATTTAAAGCTTATTAGGGTACATAGAGTAAAATAATATCCTAAGACAAAGTTTAGAGACATAGTCTAGACCTAATTTCTGCCAGGCTGCTTTCCAATTTTCCTGGGAGTTTTATTAAATAATGAGCCCTTGCCCTTGTATTTGTGGGCATTGGGTTTACCAAACTATGTCCATTTCTTTTTGTATCTTGCGTACCTAATTTGTTCCATTGACCAGCTTTTCTATTTTTAACTGGTACCATGTAGTTTTGATGATTACAACTTTGTAGCATAGTTTGAGATCTAATCTAGGCCTCCTTTATCCCTCCTTTTTTTTATTATTTTCCTTGAGATTCTTGGTCCTTTGTTTCTTCAGATGAAAATCATTATTTTTCTAGTAAATATTTTGGTAGTTTGAGCAATATAACACTGAAGATGCAAATTAATTTAGTTAGTATTGTCATTTTTATTATATCAGCATGGCCCAATCACAGGCAATGAATCTCTCTCCAGTCATTTAGGAGACATGATTTGTGTGCCATGGGTACTAATGTAGAGCATATTTTAAGCAATTAAGTTTCACATAGTAATGCAAGAGTCAGTGGTACTAATGATGGCCCATGGATGTCTTCTGTTGGGAACCCTTTCATGTAGCCTACAGCAGTATCCTCCTGTGCTTTGGCAAGGAATCAGTTGAACAAGAGGAACAGAGAAACTAGTCCATTCAAAGGAATCCTTAGAACTTGTCAACCAAGTATTTGTGCCAGAGTTCAGTTATTCCTTTTTACAGTTGTAATCCTATAAACATTCATCCAACAAATATTTATTAAGTCCCATGTTAGGCGCTGGGATGTAAAGATTAAAAAAAAATCACTATCCTGTCACTCAAGTAACTTATAACCTATTAGAATTAGAGCATTTATTATCATAGCTTTTTTAAGAAAATTTTTTTCAAGAATAATTATTCTTTCATTTAACCCCAATTGCCTAAAAATTTAAAAAAAATTAAAAAAGAATAATTATTCTTAGGTAGTAATAAGGTCAATTTGATGGTGTTTCTACCTTTGGGGAACCTATGAAGGATTCTGCCCTAAGCCTTACGCTTCTTTAGTTTACATTAGCTTCAAGGGTACCAGAGGTTACTCTTGAAACCTATTAGGAGACTTTGTCATTAGAGTTTTCGGCTCTCATTACTTTTCACAGTTTTCCTGACACAACTTGAACTGTGCACAACTTTATCATTTCCTTATCCTCAATATGACTTGGCTCCTTGTGCTCAGAAATCTTCAGCACTTAATCTCCAATCACCTTTTCCCATCTTCTGTCAAGACACCTTAAATGATTGACCTCATCTGGCATCTTCTGTCTCTTTCCCTTCTATCTACTGTCTCTATACCCTCCATAGACATCTGCACTGATTGGAGATTTGTTTACCTGGGCACTTCGGCTGGGCTTATTCATCCATTCTATTACCGTCTTAGTCTCAATTCAACTAATCATGAAGATTTTTGAGTGTATAAGACAATGGGAGTGGAGGGTTTCATCCATATTCCTACATCACCACTTAACTAAGTAGGTATGTAACTCCCCACTACCCAGAGTAGGTGACATATATAACATTAACATATAACATATAAATAACATATATAACTCATATTTAACTTTAGGATATAAAGAATTATCACAGATGATTAAACTTAATCCTGTCAAATTAAAAATAGGACACAGCATTTCTCCAAAAATATCCAGAGATATCATGGAACAGGTGATTTTACCTAGGCACTCCTCAGGCTATTCCGGTCAAAATACAAATCATGTTTG